AGTGTCTTCTTTCTTCACCATGAAAATTCCTTGCTTCATACATGTGTTGCAAATTCTAAACAGGAACTCTAAAATCCCTGGCCCCTGTTCGCCTTTTTCTCCATGTATAAATCCCATATTACATGTATTGCAAACCTAGAAAGGAATTCGGAATTCTCAAGTCTTAGGCTTTTTCCTTTCTCTGCATGATTCCTGAAAAAGTGATTGGAGAACATGAGAATATTCATGAACAGGGCCTTCAAGAAGAAGAAGAAGACGCCCAATAATTGAAAATTAGTACCTAAATTTGCAGCACATATTGTAAGGAACTTATACGTAGGAAAATGAGGAAAACAGGAGCCCACGAGCGCAAAAACTATTTGGAGCCCAGCAACAAATGACTCACTAAGTAGCCTAGCGGTAAGAGGATTTGATTGTCTTTCTCTAGAAAATCTCAATTCTGACTAAGTAGAACTAAGCCTCAGGTTTTACGAACGGAATAGAATCTTTTCTCCACAATCAAGATAAAAGAGATGTGCAGTTGACTTGAGAGAAGTGGAAGATCTAGTTCCATGCAGGTGTGTCTTTTCATCCCATGGAAATTCAATAAAATACGCTGGAGCTTGAGCTCCAGAACGACGTTTTTTGCAGTTCAAAAACGTGAATTTGTTCCATAATGTGCCATGTATAAAGCCCTGTGCATCATCAAGCCTATGTTCTTTAGAAAATGCATCTCTTCCTGTTCAAAAAGAGATACAAGAGCAGCCCTTTTGATATTGTACGCTAGCCAACAACATGTATGGTTTCGACAAACAATTGCTTATGAAAGTTGTTTTAAAACAAGTGAGATAAACCCGAACTATTACTATATCAAACCACGAAACAAATGGGTTTCCCACGTGGTCATTTGAATGCTAGACAGCCACTTGGGTTATACGGGCAAGATACTTGTATAACATCAATGTGTTCTAACATTTCCATATGAAGATGTTACTTGGTTTGCCCCACTTTTTGGTGCATGTCCTTTCTATAACTTGATATTAAGCATAGATAAAGTATTTCATGATATACATCGCTAAATTAAGAGATGAAGTTGATATACCTGACAGGGGACTGTGTATGTAGGTGTTTCGAAACATGAGGGCTGTTTCGAAACATGTGGGGTTAGAACCTGAAACCATCATACGATCAAGCCATGAAGCCATTGAACCAATAAACCAGTAAAGCAATGGTTGTCCCCATATGGAAATCCAGTGAACCATTAAACCACAAAGCCATTAAACTATTAAACCAATAAACCATGAAACCATTAAACCAATAAACCATTAAACCATTAAACCAATCAACCATTAAACCAATGTGTTTCCCCATATGGAAATCCAGTAAACCATTAAGCCATTAAACCAATAAACCATTAAACCAAACAACCATTAAACCAATAAGCCAATGGTTTTCCCAATATGGGAATGAGGTGAACCATTGAACCATTACTGGGTTTCCATATGGGGGAAACCATTGGTTTCATGGTTTAACGGTTCAATGGTTTAGTGGTATAGTGGTTTACTGGATTTTCATATGGGGAAACCAATGGTTTAATGGTTTTATGATTTAATGGTTCAATGGTACCACAAAGTTTTCTTGATCGGTAGATTTTGGATCTTCAGCAAATTTGTTGATCAACACCATTTTTGTTTGATTGCCTTTCCTGCCACCATTTCATCCATTTCATCCATTGCACGCGATGGATGAAATTGATGAAATGGCTGCCCCTCAACCCTTTCATCCATTTCATCCACCGCTTGCACTGAATGAAATGGAGGAAATGGTTGGTCTTTGCCTACAGCAACGATTTTATTACATAGACACTAAAGGTCCTACGTACACATGTCTTATGCGAGGTGCTTGCTACTGTAATGATCCGTATGAAGAAATGTTAAATTAATCTTAGCCAAGGTAGCTGTCAGGGGTCCCATATTGGGCCAGCGTATCAGATGTTCTCTGGAAGCTTCTTGTGCTTGACTTGAGTGCATGGTCAGATCAAGGTGATGGTCATATTCTTGCCTGTTTGGCACGAATGGTCTGTGAGTTCGATGTTGCTGACTTTGATAGGGTACTTGGATGTTCAGGGGGGAGGTCCACATGGCAATTCATGTTTCAAAATTACGGGGTCAGCGTGGCAGTTAGGACAATGATAAGTCTACTTATACAAAACTCAAAGGTTTGGATGGAGTTGCAAAGGGGATAATTGCCGTTTTGACAGCGATACTCTGCTTACACAACTACCCCTGGACGTGAATTGCCCGAGGCTGCCGGAACGTGCCGACATGCGCCGACCTTGGGACGAATTGTGAGGGGAAGTGGCATCTGATTAGGGCAGTACAGGAACCCTGGTAGAGTTATGCAAGCATGGTAGACTCAAAAAAGCAAAGTGCGATGTACACCAAGATTTTCTTGAATGAAGTAGGCCCCCCGCTCATGCTTGAATATCACATCCATGCATTGGAGTAGCCCAGCTGCGATGTTGTTCGTGTGAAGAAGGAGGGGCGTGATTTCAATGAGAGGGCTGCAGCCATCTTTCTCCGCGTTCACGCGTAGAGTGCAGAGTATCAGCCGTCACAAGGCTTGGGAAGGGGACAGGGCCATCTGAGTACGACAGAACCCACCTTCAGTCAGATGGCCAATGTTCAGCTATGCGTGTGGCTGTTGTGATGCCGTTCCAGCCTTTCAGCTTACTGTCTGAGGTCAGCGATTCGGCAAAACATTGTTGAATTCCGTGATCCAACGCTTGTTGGCTTCAAGAGCAGTAGCTCTTGTAGGCAAGATGCCCCTGTGGCTGCATCTGATTGCAAAGCAAGGATTGCTGGTGTGTAGGTTGCTCCGCGCCGGCACATAGACTCAATCTCTTATGCATGAGCTGAAAAGGACGTCCAGGCCTCTTGTGATGCATGCGTGGATCCTGCTCCCCGCTCTCTTCCTTGGTTTCCACTATGCCAATTCCTTCATCATTCTGCCCTTGGTAACAGCCGACATCACATGGGCTCTTGTCGAGATCCACTTGTCAGGATCTGGAGTGTTGCTTTAGTTGACTTGTCTGGTGGTTCGGGCCATCCAAGGGGGTTTTGTTGCTCGGAGGTTTAAGATGCATGCATGATGGACAACTTCTACAGCTTCCGTACTTGTAGTTGGAGCGCGGCGCGTACCTGCCCGTGTGTTTTCGTGCACTTTCTAGGTTTCGGACGGCTTCAGGGGTGGGGGGGCTTGTGATTTCGTTAGTTTGGAACTTCCACATTTTGTTTGGCTTCATGGGTGGGGGGGTCATAATTCCGTTCCTTGGGACAAGTTATGTATTGATGGCTGCATGGGTGGGGGGGTCATAATTCCGTTCCTTGGGACAAGTTATGTATTGATGGCTGCATGGGTGGGGGGGATTGGGGGGGTCATAATTCCGTTCCTTGGGACATTTTAAGTATTGAGGGCTACATGGGTTGGGGGGTCGTATGGTGTTCATTCGGACATTTTACGTATTGAGAGCTGCATGGGTGCGGGGGCATAATAATCTTCATTCAGACCATTTGCGTATTGCAGGGCTTCAGGTTTGTCGGTTTGCGATTTAGCTATTCTGATTCTTTCGTTTTGCACGCCTTCATGCGGTCGTTGCGAGGGGCAAGAGTTTTTTGACTAACGCTTCTATTTACAGTATTTGCACACGTCCTGTATTACTATTTATTTCGGTAGTTGCGCATGTTGTGTCTTACTATTTTATTGTACCTTTTATGTTTTTGTTAGGTTTTCCCCTCTCTGGAGGGGTGTGTGTGTGTGTGTGTGCACCCTGATTCTAAGCTAAGGGTTTTTGGATTTGTCAAGTTGCAGGGGGCAGGAGTGTGCTTGAGAGTCTCCTGCCAACGAAGACGCTCTCAATGCACAGTGATATGAAGAGGGGACGCCTTCTTCACGTACCTGCATGTACAGCTTGAAGCCGATTTGAAGTGCAGTATTGTGTGCATGTCGCTTCTCATGTGGTCATTGGAGAAACCTCACAGCAAAGATTTTCCTCATAATTTGACACCTGCATACCCAAGAATGGCGATTTCGAAGCCTGATTACCTGTCTGTGTGTGTGTGTGTGTGTGTTTTGCTTCGTACTTCTATGAATCACCGCCGCCTGCAGAGAGGCGTAAAGTTATGTGGGGGCTTCAGGCTACCACTATGAGTCGTTGAAAATAATTAAAATAGGAAACAATTAGGAAACAATTAGGAAAGTCGATTAGGAAACAATTAGGGACCAAATAGGACAGCCCGGAATGGGAAATGGGAAACTTATAAGAAAGGAATTAGGCTCCGAACAGGAAACATATAGGACACAAAATAGACAAGTAGCAAAAGAGAGAACATTAACAAAGGCAAGAAAGTAGAAAACCATTAGGAACCAAATTAGAAGCAAAATTAGGAACCAGCAACAACAAGCACAGAAATAGGGTCAAAATTAGAACCAAAATTAGAACCAAAGTTAGGATCCAAATTAGGATCGAAATTAGGACAGAATTAGGAAACAATTAGGAACATGTTGGGAAAGCAAGAAACATAGGAACGTGTGACGAAAATCTTATGGCTTATGGAATCCTATAGTTTATGACTATACTAATTATTGCTAATTATTGATTGTTGTATAGCAGAAGCCTCGGTAGCCAAGTGTGTGTGTGTGTGTGTTCTGAAAATATATGGCACATGGTCTAGCAATCTTGAGATGCTGATTGGTGGTGCTGGTGCTAGTGCTAAGAGCTAACATACTGCTCTCCAACTCTGCGTGCGGTGGCTTATGGCTTATGATTTATGACTTATGGATGCTGACGCTTTGCTGCTGCTGGTCCTGCGGATTTGGTTTTTTGACGGGCACGTGAACGTGTGGATTTTAAATGCTTGGGTTGAAATCGGAATCGTTTTGAATGCGTCGCCTTTTGGTTTAAGTGGAGGAATTGTTTTACAGGCCCCGGTTGTGCGTAAGGGCCCTCTCAGCCCGTGACCATGGGCAAACGATCTCGTCAATCTGGTCCTCCGACCGATGCGCAGACTGAGCAGCTGCGGCAAATGCAGCAGCAACTTGTCGGGGGTTGGAAGCCCTCTGTGCAGATGTTGATGACGATCTCCCAGTTGATCAAACTTGTGGAAGCAGAGCTGGGCCTGCAGTCCTCCAAGGGGGACGATCGCCGGCTGGCTCAGAGGTTGGTTTCAGTGCGAAACTCTGGCCTCGCCATCGAGTCTGCGGATGGGTTGTCTGACAAGGACTACGATACCTGCGTGCTGGCTGCTGAGAGGCACTTCCTGGGGGCTGGCTATGGCATCGAGGACTTCCGGGACGCCATGACTCGTGTCGTTCGACCCCGACCAACGGGCGACAGGTCGGAGAATGGCTCCCGGGCCGAAGGCGAGACGAAGGAAGCACCCTCGAGCTCAGGTGCCACAGGTGCGCAGACCGAGGGGCCAGCCTAGAATCATCGTGTGAAGTCGGCACTTTTGTTCCGGGCCGAGTTTTGGGTGATCGCCGGCTCATCAAGGAAAGGCGCGAGTTTGAGTGTGCCAAACATGTGGTGATTGCACTGAAGCCAGCGACTCGACTGCACCATGTCATGTTATCACTTGTGTTTGGGTGCCTGCAGCTTGCCATGTCAGTCTTTCAGGTGTTGCAGTGTTGCATGTGCCTTATGACCTTGTGCTGTTTGCTCCTTTGGCTCTTCGGACATCGGCGGGAGCGGGGCTGGGAGAGATCGCTTTATCGGTCCAGCCTGCTTCCCAGCTCTGTGGCTCACGCCTTCGGTGTGTGTGTTGCACGGCCTTTGCACTGCTATGCCTGCATTTCCAGGTCTCTTTCGAGCGGTGCTTGGTGGCTGGGTCTTGCCCCCAGCTTCCAGGTGTTTGTTGGGCACCACAGCAATCTCGTATCGTTGATTGGTTCGCCAGGCCGGAGATCTGGAGACTACACGTGTAGGGGCCCCATTGGCTGTGTCACAGCGAAGTCTGTTAGGGCTGCTAGGGCTTGCTTCCTGGCGAAGGTCTGCTCCCAGGTTCCATTTCCTTTTCTGCTGCAGCGCTGGCCTCGGTGTGGCTGGAAGGAGCTGGTGGTGCTGTCCCTGCCTATTTCAGGTGCGATTTGCCTCCTCTTCGGCAGTGCGTAGCCCTCAGCACGGGGTCTGCTTTGGCGCTCCACAGCTGCCTTTTTCGGGATCCTAGGTCCGTGTCGGGGTGCTTTTGCACTTCTTCTTCTTCTGCGGCGACCTCGACATGATTTGATCAGGCTACCTGCCGAGCAGTGTTTGCATCCCAGGTGCTTCTTCATGCCGGGAGCGCGCGGTAAACCCTGAACTCAGTCCCGGGAGAGGGGCGTCCCTAGGTTAGGCTCCTTGTAGGATTGTAGGGCTTACTTTATTGCCAGGGTCGTGGTGTCTTGTGGGTTCGGCTCGGTCCTCGGGTGGCCCTCTCCGCTCGCTTTGCCTGTGCCGATTTCGGGTGGCGTGTGTCAGGCCACTCTACCGGTGCACTGCACATGCATCGGCCCTTGCAGTGGATTCGGCGCCACAGGGCTCTCGCTGCCTGTGGTGCAGTGATCTTTTGCTTTCTCAGGTTGGTGCTCCACTCTGCCACAGCACGTCCGGGGCTTGGCAATTCCGGTGCTGAAGTCTGGATGGGCTCTGTTCTTCCTTTCAGGTCAGGCCGTTGACTGGGCCGGGTCTGCGCCCCGCTATCCAGGCTCGAGCCTCGGGTTCCGTGTTATAGCTTCATGCGTGCTTTTGCGATGGTTTTGCTGGCTGCGGGCTATTGGTCTATTGAGTCTATTGAGTCTAGTGACTAGTGCTGTATCAGGATGTTCATGGATGGAGCTACATGCTCATACTAGAGATCTGTGAATCATGTTGTTTTCAGGCGGCATGAAACAGCAGCAGTGTTGTGTTGCTGAGCGACATGCGTGACATGTCACAGTCGCTGTACAGAATAGGCAACAGTTGCCATCGGTTGAAGCACAGGGCACTGATTACTAGCCTAAAGGGAAATCGTCGCAGTTGTTGTGAGAATCCAACAGTTTTTACCCTCGCCGAAGGATTGCCGTTCGGGAAGCAGGCTTCGACAGGGCCTCAGTCGCAGCCGGAGTCGTGATTATTTGTTACCTCGTGCCTACTGTGTCAGGTCGCACTGGGTTGCTTCTTGATTCCTGTTTTCAGGCTCGGCCCGCCGCTCGGTGCAGTTCCGTAGTGACGCCGTAGTGTAAACTCACCGAAAGATGGCCGTTCTTGAACACGGAGGTCTCGAACAATCTCATTGGTTTCAGCTCCGGCCTCAGTTGGAAGCCTCTCACACACACACACATAGCTTACCATGAACCCGAACCATGTCAAGCTGCAGCTGCACAGGTCCTTTCTTCACTTTCTTCAACGGCTACTGCTGTGTGCTTGGTCGGTTGAGGCCTTGCCCTGCCTTGGTGGCCCAGATGTTGTGGCTTAGCGTAGCTCGTGGCTTTGAAGGCTTTGCTGGTGGCCTTGGTGGAGAATCTCGATGTGAAGCGGCGCAGCTCCCAGCGACCAGAGTTGTTGTTATCGTGCTTAATTTGATCGATCCTGTTTGTGCTTTGCTTCATTTATTTGGTAGCTCGACAGTTTCCTTCGGAGATTGCGAAATAGAATTAGTTGACAGACTGAACCTCAACTTTACCTAGTCGCCTAATCTATCCGTCTGAAGCTAGCTAGAATTTAAACATCTCGGAGCTTAGATTCCTAAATTCCTAAATACTTCCTCCTCTACGCCTCCACACATAAGGCTAGCGGCTAGACTAAGCACAGCTGGGGTAGGGTGTACCCCTCCACTGCGCCCCCACTTCAGTGACATTTCATCGGCAACAACCCAGAGAGCCCGATACCCCTTAGCTAAGAAACATATGCCTTAAATGAGTAGGGGCTTCATACTATGTTTTAAGCTATATTAAAGTATATTGGGCTCTCTGGGAAATTGCAGATTCGAAAGCTAATAACAGCCGTGACTGTCAGATGTGTGTCGTAAAGCGCACAACGAAAGTTCGAGCATGCTACATGACTCGCGTAGATATGAGATGCTACGCCGCTACGCGTGTCCAGCCGAGCCCAGGTTGGAGTGAGCAGGCGAGCGAGCCGCTTTGTGGCCCACGGCTCTGATGTTTTCTTGATCAACCTACCGGTTGAGACAGGCTGCCATGTGTTGTGCAGTGTGGTAGTAAAGTGAACATTTATCCCCAGAATGCTCATGTCATGTGCTTTTGCATATACGGCTGCGCTGCTCAACAAACAAGTCACAGGGCCAAAGGGGGTCCCGGCAGAGCCAGCAGACGCCTACAGGTTTCACAAGAGTGCGAGGCAGTGCAGCTTCCGGAAGCTGTCAAAAATGTAGGTGTGATAACCGTGATGATGTGAATATCCAAACACACATCAAACTTTCGTAGGCTCATTGCCACCTTGCCCAGGCATGTGCGGTCTCGTGCGGCTTCCGTGCATGGGCTCAATATCAACGTGGGAATCGACGAAGTGTTGCTGCAGTGCGCAGCTGTGTGCGGCTGGGCGTCCCCGCCGGCGAGTTTTTTGTTCTCGATTGATTTGTTTCTTGGTGACAGCTGGCGCCCGTATGAAGGGATGGGCACGGCTGGCGAAGGACTGCTTACAGTCTGCAGACCTGGAGTTCCAAGCGGTTTGTGAAGCTGAAGCTGTTCGAGACGCATCTCTTGTCGGAGTTTCGGATGATGATAGTTCTCAAAGCAGTGTGCCGCTCAGTCCACAGACATCAGATGTTCCTTGGTTTGCAAAGAAAGAGGTTTAAAGTTTAAAGCGAACGATTGCTATGCCTGCTATGCTGCTACAAGTGTGAATCCATGAAACATGTCATGTATCACATTTTCCCATGCCTTCGCGCAATGTTTCAGCAGCTGGTCAGAAGTAACAAGTCAAGTAAACTGATAGTGACAGTGAGTGTGCAGAGCTTGGACGTGGACAGTCGTTCATGACAAGTAGCTTCAGCCGGCCATTCATTTGCAAGTGTCGTTGTGAACTCATTCACATTGGCAAGCTGAGGAGTGGTATGTTTTTCAGATCAAGCGCCACACACGGGAGATTGCTCCCGGCGGACAGAAGCGGTCTGAGCCTATAAAGCTCCTGTCCTGTTGCACTGGCTCTTTCGCTGAAGCTTCGGCATTGCAGGCACTGCAGACATGCGAGCATGTTTGCAGGGCATGTTGTCGCGCATGTTGTCGCAGAGAGCTTCTGGCCGCCGGTTGAAGTGGTAGTGTGCATTTCTCCTGACTGAAGACCCCTGTCTAGACTCCTAGCTCCCAGGTTTTGTCGCAGGTTGAAATTCCACATGATTTCTGGTGACACAGGGAAGTCATGTGCCTATAGGGCCTAGGGCTTAGGGCGTATGGACAAACGACAAATATATTTATCTGTCTCTGCTGAAGCAGGCCTTGGACATTCCTTTCGTGGCGATCGGTGCGTCGGAGCCCAATGCAGCATTCAGATCAGTGATTCAGGCGAACCACTGTCCAAAGCACTTGCATGGGACAATGGAGGAGCAAGTAGCAGGCAAACCGTGCAGTTTCCATCCAAAATCTAGTGAATCTGGTTGCTGCAAGATGGAAGCTTGTGACCTGTGTGTCATCGGCACACCCTGCAATCGATATGCGCTTCAAACGGTACAGGGACGGAAGTGTTAGTCGGCATCCGCTGACTGACATTACTTTCAGGGATGCCAAGAACATGATCGTGCAAGGCGGCCACAAAGCAGTGATCATGGAGCAGGTTGCAGGGTTTGATAAGGGCGAATCCACGGGAGTTGATTCAACCCCTATGAGAAGGCCGGGGGGGTTGTCTGCCTGTACCTTCGATGGCAGTTCTGTGTGACTTTGCACAAGCCAAGCCGGGTAGACTAGGAGAGTTGCTGCCATCGTTCGTGAGGTCATGAGGGCGCTCGGTGATTTGATTGGGGCCATTAGGTCACTAGGTAACTAGGTTCCAGGAAGTGCTGTATGACCGCTTTTAGGCCATTTGGGTTTGCGTCCAGAGTCCATGACAGCTCGGCTCCCCAAGTCTGCGTGCATTAGTGTCGATATTATGGGTCAGTGTGTCAAGACATCAATGCTCCGACTAGCTGCTGACCAGCTTTTGGACTCTAGGTTGTCTAGGTAGCAGGAGTAACATTTCGCTTACACAGTCTTCCAGTTACTCTATTGACTCTAGTGGTAATAAGTAATTTCGGGAATCTCTGGATTCTGCGAGCAGCTGTATCAGTATCACCAGAAAACAAAGCCAGAGCAAGTTATTGTGTCTCTGATGTGACAGGTTCATCTTCCAGGTGCAGGAGGCTTTGCGCGAATCGAATGCCCCGGGGTACTGGTTGGTGATCCTCAAGGTCAAGTACACAGATTGGGTGCAGATGCATCGCGAGAGGACCGGTTGGTGCTTTTGTTCTTGCTCAGGGTTTGA